TCTTGGAGAACTCAATTTTTAACCTCGCTGTTTTTAAGCAGTGTTTGGACTTTAGTCTTTGAAATGAGCAAAAAGTAGTTTCTGGTGGCTTTCTCCGAAAACATTGATTAACAATATGCTCACAGCATTTTATAAAAAATAAATTAGTCTAGTTAATATAATAATAATAAGTCAAGTATTAATTGTTTTTTACCATTTTTTATTTGCAAACCTAACATCGTTCGCATGAATTTGCTTAAAACTGTATCTCATAATTGTTTTATTTAAGAAAAATTCAAAATTACCAACAAAAGTTTCAGTGAATAGTAGTAAACGTAACATGTAAAATGTAAAACGAAACAAAAATTAAAAAATGTAGTTTGCAAACTCTGCTATTTTGTTAAGTTAGTACCTATTTAGGTGCAAAGATTAGCTGCTAGACTTAATATGTTAAATATATATTTTTTTACCGTATTTTGTTTACATGAAGCCAAAATATTTAAATTTTTTGCATATTATTTAAAATAAGGTCATGCGATTTAATTTTATATTATTAAGCTAAGAAATGCAAATAAGTAACATTTGGAAATAAATATTCTGCATTCATTTGTAAATAAGTAGAAACCGGCTTTCATTATGGAAAGTAGAGTATTATTAATTTATTCTAATATTTACAGATTAATGTAAAGTATTTTTTAATTCCTTAATCCATGTTTTAGGAAAATTTCAACTAAAACTTTAGTGAAGATTAATTTTGCTATATAAGTTTATTTTCAATAATGGTATGTGGTAGAATCGATTTTAAATAAAGTCAGTATGCACGCAGGAAAAAATACAGAATTGAAAGGGTTGAAATATTTTCGTCCCTGAAAAAGTATCACCCTGTATTACGTTGAGAGTTAACAGATTCAAAGTAACTATATGTTCAAAGCTTCAACGACTTTCATATGAAAACAAAAAAGCACATTCAAAACCAAAAAGGAAATTAATAAACACCCTGTATCTTGAAAACTTCCGACTTTCTATTTATAATTATTTATAACTCAATGTTCAATAACTTTCGATTTTATAAAAGTTGACTTTCTAATATTCTGTATAAAAATCTCCAAAGAATCAAACATAAATCCACTGTGTATTTCGCATTAGGTACAAAGTTAAATATAATTCCGTAGGAACATAAGAAATGGAAATTGTCAATAAATATACAGAGTGGCTCTAAAAACCTTATGCAAGGATCATAATATGTAGAAATGTGCTGTCTAAATAGCTTATAAATTTATAGTGTTTTAAGCATATACGAAAATTGCTTAATTGGGGAGAACTGAAGGGAATTTAGTGGCCACTTAAGCTGGTTTGAAAACGTTGTCAAAATAAGAGATTTCTACAGAGTTGCACCATTGGAGCCAAATGAGAATTTAAAGAAAAAATTTGGAAATGGACTAGAATAATATCAAAATTATTTATCGCAAATAAATGTTTAAGATCTTCAGAAGCAGGAAATTCCTGCATACATGCGATAACCATCCATCATTAAGTTTAGTACATACAGCTCTGAAGCATACAAGACGCTCTACTTACAGCTAATGAACTACTGTTCTCAAGCCGATTCTTTGCACATATCTTCTTTGTGTGATTTCCTCAAAGTCAGGGCATGAACCAGATTAACCACCACCCACCCACACGACGAGTCAAAACAAAAACGAAAAAGCTCCGTAGCCTATAAGATTTACGATGGTACCGGGCGACTTTTACTATTGGTACCGTTGATTCGATCCGGGTCAGATGGGCACCAATTTCGTATAAAACTCAGGTCGTGGTTCGCGGGGGACCCATTCGGTCATGGCGAAGGTCGCGGTTCTAGTTGTGGTGCTTGTGGTGGTTTTGGGGTGTCTTGATGGTACCATCGCTCGTATCACCCGATCGCACAAGTAAGTCCAGTCGATGTTCTCTCAATAAGACAACGCTATACGACTAATGTGCTATTTTAGACTTCTAACTGAACAACAAAGCAACATTCCTGGTGTTAAAATCGAAGAAGCTGCAGATGGCGAAGAACCAACCACTATTGCAAACAATGAAGGTCTAATAACGAACGAAACAACGAAAGGACTTAGCGATGGAAACGTCGCATTTGATGACGATTTTATCCAACCGGAGGGTAGAGTTTTATATCGGGGTAGTCAGTTGTGGAAAATTTTAGTGGACACTGAAGAGAAGGCTGAACTGTTGGCTGGACTAAGAGATGGAGAAGGTATGTATAAGGGATTTACTCAAAATGAGCTCAGATTCTATCTAATTTTTTGCTATTTTTATAATTAAATCCGATACGAAAAGTTGCCTTTTCGTGAAAAAGCTATAAAAAATTTGCTACTTATACTGAATTATACAAAAGCCAAAACCGCATCATACAAATTAGATGCGCTACTAATGTAACTTATAATGCATGTGTTATGTTTTTGTTTCACAAAATTGCGATTTTCATTTCGTTTAAGAAGTTAAATATAATGAAAATATTCGTGCCATAAAACACTTTCCGTTTACAGGACGTACATTTGCGTCTTAAACTGCACACTTTGTATTTGATAACATTTGTAAATTTAAATTCATTCCTGTTCTAATATTCCTGTCTAAGAAATAATTATCGAGTATAAAAACAACAGCACTAAAGTGTGCCGTTTGTAAAATATATCAAACTCAACCAAGATATCCAGGAAGAAAGTTCAATTATTTTTTCTAGTTTTTACAACTGCTTCAACTATGTTATTCACCAAAAATAATATAGAAATGTTTTTCTTGTTCATTTTCACAAAAGTATCCACTTATGCACGAAATTTACCAATCGTAATCATTACCTTGTTTTAGTTATTAACAGCAGTTAATTCCCAAAATGAAAACAACTTTTAAGAAATAAACTCTTCAACTTTTTCGAGTCAGCTCAGGGTCTCTGTTTAGAAACCTATTCATACTGCTGATATACCAGTGTTTAATAAAATGTATTAATCAACTCAAAAATTCAAAAGAATTTACTTCTTGGCGAAGCGCCGCCAAATAAAATCAAACGCAAACCCAGAACAAGTCTAAATATCTTCATCATTGACAAAAAAATGCTTTTCCTCGTGAACACCCAGTACATTTGTTCGCAAAAAAAACTTTTTATTGAAAGAAAAATAAAAGTAAAAGAGAACACTTATTAATTTTCAGTTGCATTGTACGAAATAATAAATAAAAATAAAATTGTGAAAAAAAATTGATGTATTATTGAAACGCAGGAAAACTTACAAAATGAACACAGCCAGGAAAGTAAATTATGTAACCATAAGGAAAGTTAGTTAAGCAATTGTAAAATCGTCTATTATTTGTGCCCTACAATTAACTTTCACTGATTAAATTTTCGCTAATGAACGGTGGCTTTTTTGCAAAGTTTTCTAATGATTAGGAAAAATCGGGCAATAAAACGTCGATAAGTCGCCAGCCTGGAAGTGTTGTTAAATAAGCGAAAATTGAAGTGAAGAGAAAGTCAATTTCGTATTCACGATACAGCATCGAACTTCTAGAGCAATTATTGATAACAAGCCAAACTCGTTCCAAGCAGTTGCTTCTGCAAACTGTTTAATGCAAATAATTTAACACATGAAGAGACAAATTTGTTACAGAAATCACAATGTGGGGAGGAAATGCCTCTACAGTGGACATTTTAGTAAAACCCGATGCAAGAGATAAAGTTAGAAAAGCGCTGGATGCGGAAAACATCAAATACGACATAACAATTGACGATCTACAAGCAGCTATAGATGAAGAAAATCCTCCACTAGAAGAGGAAGACTTTGATAACAGAAACGGTAAGTAAAATCTCTAATTCCACAGCGACAATAAATGAACATGGATTTAATGTCTGGCAAAATATTAACATCGTAGACCATCAATTTATTTATAAATTTAAATTAACTGACGCATTGTGAATATTGCGTTATTTGGAGGAATTGGAATTTGCGAATATCCGATGCATGAGAGCCATTTTCCCAGGAAATCGGGTCATAATCCGAAACGTTATGCGTTAGAGAGTTAAAGAGTATATGCTCTTTCAATCAACGGTTAACGTTTTCTGCGATAATCAACGGTGAACTTCATTTAACGTAATTTTGAAATTTTCGCATACAAAACTTTATTAATCAGCTTATTGATGCAGTTATACAATTTCAGAGATGACCATTGTTCCCACATATGCACATTGGGTGCAGAATAGTTAAAGAATATAAATGTTTTAAATTCGTTTTAACTTTGGCTTGGGACACTATTTTACAGATTCATTATTTACAGGGAAAGTAGAAATTAGGACTTTTGATGTGTGAGGATCGTTTGCCTCAGAAATACGTGTGTTTAGAATTATATGTTTATTTATTTACTTATTTATTCATCAACTTGCAATACTCAATTCCACATTTATTCTGTGAGCACAGAATTTTATAAAAAATATTTTTATGAAGAAAAAATAGCCAAGCGGTAAATTTTCTTTTGCTTATGCAAGACATACTGTTTTGCTGGACTGTGTTAAATGTATGTGGATGTTTTCAAATGCGACGAGGTATTTTAGAAGATTTTTGAATATAAATGCCTGTGTGATAAGCGATTGGGACTAATTAGCACAGTTATTAATCACAATGTGTTTATTACATAATACAAATTAAGGTATAATATTTGCGAAACATTAATCAATCATAAGATTCTCAAAACTCTGAAACAAAAGAACTCTTGTTTAGTAACGTTTCTATTTTCACGATACGATGGAAAATGCATTTCATTACAGGTCATATGCAATTAAATTAAATAATGAAATAAACTTATATTGTTTAAAAGAACTTGGTATTCATTCTGATTCAACAAGACCGAAATGTACGATACATAAATTCTTCCTTATAATGAATTATTTTCTTATTATCTCTTATTTTACTATTTCAGTAATATCTCTTATTTTACCGTTTCATTGCTTGTTCAAATCCGAATAAAAAAGCGCCCTTGAGTTTTCTTCGTACAACGCACCATTGCAAAAGATTGTTTAAACTGATCCGAATTGATGGATAATCAGTCGAAGTTAAATTTTATTTCGCTTAGACTATTTAATTCAACTAAAAAATACTTTAAAAAATCATTCCCAGCTCCAACTATGAGTCACTACTACTTAGTAAAATAATTCGTCAATAATTTCAAAGATTGAATTAAAATAACTAATTGTTGATGTGAGAATTCCGAGATCTACTTTAATATGATTTTTACTGTTTTACTCAACAATGATTCTTGTACACATGAAGAGGAAACTCAAGAAAGCTTTTTTGTTTGGAATTATACAAGCAATTGAATGAGTTTTTTTGGCGGATACGCGCGCCAATGGTAGACGCAAAAATTCAATAGAATTATGGCCATTCGATATCTAATGCCATTAAATTTATCTAGCAGTATCGGATATATTCATTAATTTTTATGTTTATTAGTAAAACCTTTAACACCCTGAATTTTCGTAGCGTGCTTCAGAACTTCCATTTATTAGAACTTTACATATTAAAATTATGTCAGCAATCACCTCCTAAAGTTTGTCAGAGTACCTTTGAATCATCCTATATATTTTCAAGTTATATCGCTTAAATAAAAGATATTTTAAAAGACGGTTTGAACAGAAATAGACAACTGAAAGTATCATCAAATATTTTAGCAAAAAAACTGCCGTTAAGGTATTACAATGCTTGGAGAGGCTTATCCTCAATGGGTTATAGATTGGAACTGTGGCCGACTGCTAATTGGGGTCCGTATACGACAAGTGAAGAGTATGTAGAGCATGTTTAAGCATGTGCGTGTTGTGTTGTTGTGGTACTCTGTGGGGGCGAATTTTTCCCATCAAACACCACCATCATGTTTGTGTTTATTGTATTATATCTTTCACCAAGCAGTAAATATTCAATCAAATTCAAGCACTATTTCTAAAAATTTTATTTGACTCATAGGTCATAGGCTGACATGGCAGGCCTATCATCGTTTAGACGATCTTCAAGGGTATTTGGACTTTTTAGCTGAGACATATCCTGACTTGGTCAAACTCCAAACCATTGGTAACTCCGTTAATGGACGGCCTATTAGGTTACTTAAAATATCCAATGGACAAACAGGAAATAAAGCAATTTGGATTGACGGTAAATATTAAGCAGACCTGATATCAACTCAAACGATGTTAATTATTGTACGTAACGTAACAGGCGGTATACATGCACGAGAATGGATCACGCCAGCAACAGTAACGTACATAATAAATCAGTTCATTTCCAATTGGGAAAATGAGCCAAAGTACATCCAGAACATTGACTGGTATTTTGCACCACTACTTAATCCAGATGGGTATGAATACACTCATACTGTAGACAGATTGTGGAGGAAAAATCGAAGGGGGTCTGGTCGATGTGCTGGCATTGATTTAAACAGAAACTTTGGGTAATTTGATACGCTTTAGAGTTCTCAATCAAACCATATATCGCACATATATCAAAACAGGTATCGCTGGGGAGGATCGGGATCATCGAAAAACCCTTGTGCCGAAACTTATGGGGGATCTGGCGCATTCTCAGAACCCGAAACTGCTGCCGTTCAAAAATTCATTAGTGGCTCAAGTGCGAAATGGAAGGGCTACATTTCCTTCCATTCCTATGGACAATATATTCTTTACCCATGGGGTTACAACAGAGTTGTTCCTCCAGACTATCAAGACTTGGAGGCAGTAGGCCAGAAGGCGGCACAAGCCATAAAGGGTGCAGGAGGACCTTCATATACCGTTGGACCTGCAGGTACTCTACCACTTACAACGATTTAAATCTAATTTCTCTTAAACTAATAATTTGATCGCAGGCAATACGTTGTATCCAGCAGCGGGAGGCTCTGATGATTGGGCCAAGGGCACCATGAAAATCAAATATGCCTACACGATTGAACTTAGAGATAATGGAAGATACGGTTTTGTTCTACCAGCCAGTTATATTCAACCAACAGCAAAAGAGGCTCTCGCCGCAGTGAAAATAATAGCTGAGGCCTCATACACTGCTTAAAACATGGAGGATTGGAAAACTTTTGAGTGGTTAGCTGTGATATTAGGAATATCCTACGGTAATTAATTTACATTATCTCTAAACTATATCGCAATTAAAGGAAAATCAGGTTAATAATATATGTTTTATAAGCCAACTGATAAAATAACTTCGGATGTAAGTATGGTTTTCGGTTTAATGCGTTGTCAATTTACTTTTACGTAAGATATACATATGTTTTTTATATATCAGTTTTTAGTTTGTATTTTAGAATATTAGGGTGGTGCTCTGTAAATTACCTATAGGTAGGCAGTTTAAGTGTAATATCATTTATATGAAACGTTGTATAACACAGAGAACAAGTCGCACCAGGAAGTATTCTTGATTTTTGTTGTAACTATTTATTTATTTGTAGTTTATAGCGTTTATACTTATTGTCGTCATTTGATAAATAATATCAGCTACTAGTATTCCTTTCTTTAATTACTCACCTTCATTTCTTGAATATCCTTCCTCAATATCCCATTATCATCCTCCAAAGTCTTGATGAGTTTATTCCGGAACTCAATTTCCTCACTTAATTGCCTAATTTTCTTACTGTCTTCAGGTACATTGAAAGGTTCAATGATTGATTTGTCTGGTGGCTGAGCGATTTTTAATTGTGATTCAGCCAAACTTGCATTTAAATTCATCACAGGACTATGCAGAGTTCTTGGACTTTTTTCTGGACTTGTTCTTGTACTCATGAATGGACTATTTTTGAAACTTTGTCTCGGAGATATACTGGTTGCGCTCATTGGTAATTTAAACGATCTTTTAACCAAACTAGTAGATTTCGCTGCTCTAGGCGAATTTGGCAAAGTATCTGATGTTTCATCGTAACTTTTTGATTTGGAAATTACTAGTGTGTCTTTATCATTATCAATTTCTTTTAGAGCCTTACAGAGAGTGTCTAACTTCTGTGAACCAGTCGAGAGTTTGTCTGAATAAAAAAGGAGGTATGCACTTATAGATAAGATACCGAAATTATGGAGATCAGTGAATAGAGGAATTTTAAATCAATTTAGAAAGTTCAAATTGCGTGGATTTGCCTGAACAGTTAAAAATGTGGCTACTTTTTGTCCCATCAAGCAAAAAATGGAAATGACTAAAATAATTAAAATTTTATATCTTCCCAAAGTGAATTACCTGGTTTCCTTTAATATGAAACGTAATCTGTATATTAATTGCATGTATAATTTTAAATCGTCACAATATATCAATACATATGTGTTTATATTTAAAAACAATTGCATTACTTAATATGTATTAGTAATAAAACCATCAGTGTGGCATTTGAATTTTTATTTACTGAAGGCTCAAGATTTCCGAATAAATTTAAACAGTGAAGGAAGAAATAAATAACTGAGGAATAAAAATATGTGCAAGTCAAAATAAAAACATCTAAGCTTTGGAAATAAAGTCACAATAGAGAAGCATAGTGGCAGCGTGAAAAAGGATATAAAAGTGCGTTTTTTTCTGTATATGATGATTATACAAGACTCAAATATTACCGTCTTGTTCTATCTTCAATTCCAAAAATACAGTCAAGAAGACTGAAGAGTGGAAAGGAAAAAAGACGTGTGAATGAATGAAAGACGGGAAAAAGCTGATAACGACATAGAAGCTCTAGACAAAGCTGTTAAATTATAATTATATATCTACACAATACAAATACACATAAATAATTAAAATATAAATGCTTCTTGCTCTCTGCAAGTGCTCTTCTAACGCAGATTTTATAAAAACCCGATAAGCGTGCAAATTGTTCAATGAGTTCCTCCAACAACGAATAAGTTCTATATTTTTTAAAATGGTTACTCACCTGACTCAGATTTGCTATTTTGTGAAAAATCGTCACTATAATCCGAGCTAGAGTCATATTTATCAACAGGATCCATAGGCAGAGGACTCAAACTTTTGGGAGTGGGTGTGGATGTTTTTGAGTTGCTGCTCAACAGTTCAGATATATTTTGGGAAGTCTTCGATCTCTGACTTAACTGTTCAAAGCTCTTCGAGCTCTCCATGTAAACTTTTTCCGCTTCCTTCATAATATCATCAATGCTCCTTTCAGCAATGCTACTTTCAAAGGGCCCCAACGGGCTTTGGGCTGCCACTCTATTTATTTCCTCAATAATGCTGCCAACATCAATGTCAGGGTCCCCATGCTTGGAGGCACTATTTTGCTCAAGAATATCGGTAAAACTAGTGGAGGGATGCAGGTTTTTTAAGTCTAATTTGGGCACTATGGGCTTGTCACTTTCATCTAGTTGTTTTTCCGGTGTTTTTATCCACCAGAAAGCTGGCTTTTTAGTTTCCATTGTGGTATCGATTAAATGGGGTGTAAATGCACTGTGAAATTACAAGCGACTTGTAACAAGCACTAAATTAATTAAAAATATCGAATTAACAAAAGCCCTAGACCGGAATTGAGCTTTGTTTACAATTTTGATTTTCCTAAACATCAAATATTTTGATTGTTGTCATTTTTAAGTCATTCCAATTAACCCCGTTTCTTATGACGTAATTGAAGCTATATGTTTCCATACACCATAAATGGAAAAAATAATTTAATCTTATCTAACTAATTGCCACAAAATCCTGAGCACTGATTTAAAACCAAATCTTAATATAACAAAAAAGATGTCGAAGAACGACCCCCTGCTAATTTTGATTAAAGGCCAAAGGTTCATAAATGTATGATAACAGCCAGATAACTAAGACAGTTTGTGAAATAAACAGACAATAATTCTGTGAGTATGTGAGACTATTTTCCAGCACAAATATCTTCACAGTATACATGTATTTTTCATTTACTGATAATCTAAACTTGTGCTAGGCAACCTTTAAGTTCAAAACGACATGTTTTCCCGCTTTTCAGCCACGTGTAAACACCTGTTGACAGAAGGGGTAAATATAAACTAGTTTTTGTTATTTTTTTATTTCTCTTGGACTAGATTGTGTAAATCCCATGTGTAAAGCGTTCGGCAGCCGTAGATCGAAAGCAGTTGAATTGCAACATTTGTTATTTCATTTCTGTGTAGCAATTGATAATTGTGTAATTGATTTATTTGACCCTTTATGCGTTACTGTGAGGTTATCAGATCTGAATAACATTAATAATTTTCTTATAAATTGAATTGAACTATTTATATTCCATTTACAAGTCTTCTACACGTGAGTTACGTGTTTGGTGGGTCAATTTTAGCTGCATTTCGGTCACCAGTTATTTCTTATAAGGTTAGTAAAAATTAACCTATTTGATTTGTTGACACAATTTTCAATGTATTTTTTTGTCTAAATTCGGAAAAAATGAAGATATTTTCGGTGCTTCGACTGGGATTCAGCGCTATTCAAGTTTGTATTTATATTAGTTAATTTGCGTAAATTGTACAGTTAGTTTGAAACAGTCACGATTTTCATATAATTCCATAGATTTTGTATAGAAATGTCTGAAAGTAACCCAATTATAGTTATAATATTCAAGTTTCCCTAATGAAAATGATAGAAATCTCGAAGAACAATGACTACAAAGGAAAATTTTAGTTAGTTTAATTCATATTAGCACAGAAACGTCAGGAAATATAAAAATGTAATATTTTTTAAAACTTCTTGACAGTACAAGTTGAAGGCGATTTTAAATGTTTTTATAAGACCCAATTATTGAGGATCATTGTGATAATAATGGGAAATATAACTTGTGCAATTTAACAGCTTCTTTCATTCAGCGCGGCTTTATCAACACTATTCTTTATTCTCAAGCACGTAATTTACCACATTATTGCAGCAAACCAGCCAATATAATGGTGCAACACAATTGAAGTTTTTATTGTTTCGATACGTTTCTAAATTGCAGCGTGTGGAAATTGCCTACTAAGTAATGCTGGTCAATTCGAATTTACCAGATACTTTTACCTTTACATGCAGGAGTGGTAGGAAACATTGTAACAATCGTTTTTTGCTTTATAAACATATGTCCAAAAACGAATTGTTTTCGCGATAAAGGTGTTGACATTAAACTAAAATTTTGCTCTTTTAGAAAACGAATAAAACCACCAACCCAAATTTTTTCGGCTTTGTTTCCGAGTTGTTCCACTCATAAATTGTGAGAATTATTGCTTGTTGCAGTAAACTAACCAGTGATAGCGTAATCGCGCTTCAAAAATACTGCATTTTTTTAGATGTATTTCATACATTCCTGAAAATCCATTAAAATCATCTGAAGCGATTTACATATTAGGTAATTAACGATTTTAAAACAATTTTCAACAGTCTGTATTCAAATATTCTCCATTTTTCATATGCGTTTTGAAAGCAAAACGTGATTATTGTAGTCTCTCCTATCTACCCTAGAAAGTTGATGGTTTAATTATGGAACACTCTATATAAAAATCATTAGTATTTGCAATTTTCGAAAGAACTTTTCTTAATGGATTTTTATTCTTGTTTCAGAGTCAAAAAGTATTATTTCGACAAGTAGACAGGATGAGTTCGAAAATCTTGCACCAGACTGTATGGGACAGCGATCCTGAATTATTCGAAATTATCAAGGCTGAAAAGCAACGCCAACTAAAAGGCTTAGAATTAATTGCATCGGAAAATTTTACCTCAATGGCAGTATTAAATTGTCTCAGTTCCTGCTTGACGAATAAGTACGCTGAAGGACTACCAGGGGCAAGGTAGGCATTGGCTTGGTTTTTATTATTAACAATATCTTGTTCTTCTTCCATCTCCGTTGTAGGAAAATACGCTAATAATTTTTTTTCGTACTGACAAATTCTTTTCTGGGTGCGTTTTGGTTAATGTTCGTTTGGTTGATTGATCCCATTGGAATTTTGCAATTTTTTTCCGTTAATTGTATTTCTTATCTTGGATGCGTTTTTAATAGCTTGTGGCCCGTCCAAGAATGTTTATATAAATATATTCTCTTTTTTTTTGCCGGTGAGGTTTGGGAAATATATTCTTAGTAGTATGGTGTAGCGACGTAACTCATTAGTCTGGTCTAATTGTTGCCTTATAGAATACTAATTCGAGTGGATTGATTCCTGTAGCGAGTAATAATACTTTGGGAGTGCATACTCTTAGAAAAACGGCGGAGGCAAAAAAGTTTTATTTTTACTTCTAAGTTAAAGGAGAAAATTTAATTTAAACTGAAACGCCACTGGCTGATTCTGCCAGATAATTACTGAAATTCCAGTTGCTTGGTTTGTTCATATACTTTGACTTTAACATTCGCATATTCGGATGTTTGTATGCAAAAATATGTATATTTCATCTCCTAAATAATTTCGCTGCCAACGACTAAGTAATATAGATTTTTCATATTTTTTTATAATTGTGGCTTTTCTGAAATACCTTATCACCGATTTTTTCAAGATTCGTAGCTTTGCTTATAGTTAGAAAAACCTGACTTTTTTCTAACTAGATTAAAACTCTTAAATCCCATAGCAAATTTATTGAGAAAGAATGCATACCATTGGGTTTAATTAAAATTCACTATTTTTTGAGGCATAACAATTTGTTGTCTCCAAGATTTTTCCTCTTATTGACTAGCGAAAAAATAAAAACCATTTTTACTCCATTACAAACAATGCTCCCAAATTTAAAAACAAAATGGGTTAAGAAAAACGTGAATTATTTTTGAAAAACGGCAATTAGAATTTAGTACCCTGTATCTTGCAAGCAATGCCTTTCCTGGCTTATGTTTAACTTCTTAGATATTTTTTTATATATACTGAGCTGACGATTCACCCTCCTAAATATTGCCGCATCTTTTTGCGACATAAATACCTTGTATGTTTCGTGTGGTTGTTATTTTTTTTGATCAACTGTGATTTCCAAGTCTATGAAACACTACAGAAACACGTAAGCTACTTGGTAGGTTTTTCGTTAATTTTCTAAAAACAGAAACTGCATCTGTTCAAAATCTTCCCGATCTGATCCCCTGGAAAAGTAATGTGATTATTAACTTTTTACAAAGTTGTGCAATACGTAGTTTATTGTAATTTCATTTGCCTCGAGATTTTCGGAATGTTCAACTTTTTGAGAATAAGCTGTCGAATTCTTCTGCTGTTTCTGTAACTTTATTAGTTGATCTCTGGTGTGTTAATTTAAATCATGGGATTATTATTTAAAAACATGTTTTAAATGTATTCTAACAATTTAAATATTACCTAATTGTTGCTAAAATTAGACGTAATTGATAAGAGAGTGAAAATCCTGAACAAATATGTTGTTGGTCGAGAGAGTCAATATTACACAGAATATTGACGCTTATTATCTTACTCATATCGATGTGATCGATTTTGGAATATTTTTCAGCAATATGTTATAGAAAGATGAAAAGTTAATAAAAAAAATTAAAAATATCAATTTGCCAAGAAATTGTCACTTAATAATTAATTGCTTATCCATATCATATTAAGTCAAACATCCGTATCACTCCTAGTTAGTATTTCCTGATCTGCTTTTTCTAATTAATTTTAAATACATATATTGAACCCAAAAAGGAGACGGCAGATGAGGCAGAAATAGAAGACGTTGATAACTCAGACTATGATTTTATCGAAATAGTAACAGTAATCATGTTGGGCTGCTAACTAGAATTACTTTGACAAGCATACTTGAAATAATAAAAGATTTGTAAAAATATTACTAGCGGACTTAAAGGGACTTAAATTTCTAAATTTTTTTAAGTTAAAATAATATTATTTTGGGTTGTTTGTTGTAAATGTTTTGCATATTCACCCGAACCAGCTACAATAAGAATTAATTCTATGGTAGGATTATGTATTAAGCGCCAGAAACTGAAAGTATGTTTTATGTTTACTATAAATCTTAGTTGTCAAAACGCAAAAAAAATCGCATTCTTGAGATATTTCTTTTTTTTAGGTATTATGGTGGTACTCAATTTGTGGATCAAATAGAGTTATTATGCCAAAAGAGAGCGCTTGAAGCATATAAAATATCTGCTGATGAGTGGGGCGTTAATGTTCAACCTTACTCCGGATCTCCAGCTAATTTTGCAGTGTATACAGGTAATTCTCATACATCTGATGAATGTGTAAAAAGTTATTTATAAATTGAATGCTTATGAACATTTTTTCCAGCAATTGTCGAGCCGCATGGAAGGATTATGGGATTAGATCTTCCAGATGGTGGGCATTTAACTCATGGATTTTTTACTCCCGCAAAAAAGATTTCAGCCACGTCTATTTTCTTCGAATCCATGCCATACAAGGTAAATCCCACAAACCGTTAAAAACCCAGTTGGTTTAATTCTCAAATTGGCAATAAAATTTATTTTTAATTTTATGCCTTCAATATCTACTAACTTTTCAAGGTCAATCAAGAAACAGGCTTGATAGATTATGAGGCTTTATTAAAAACAGCTCGTCTATTCAAACCGAAGATTATTATAGCCGGAGTCTCCTGTTACTCAAGAGCGTTAGATTATAAAAAATTCAGAGAAATTTGCGACGATGTCGGTGCTTACCTAATGGCGGATATGGCACATATATCAGGCTTAGTAGCTGCTGGTAATAAAGCTAGTTTTGTGAGATTTAGAGCATATTTCCTAATATTATAAGAAATATTTAGGTGTTACATCAAGTCCGTTTGAGTACAGTGACATCGTCACAACCACTACCCACAAAAGCCTTCGAGGGCCGAGAGCTGGAGTAATTTTCTTTAGAAAAGGGTTTAGAACGAATGCAAAGGGAGACAAGATTCCATACGACTTGGAAAGTAAAATTAATCAGGCTGTATTCCCTTGTTTACAAGGTAGACATTCCAAGAGATGTATAATGTGGTTGTTTATACTTAATTTTTTTGTTAGGTGGCCCCCATGAAAACGCAATTGCTGCTATCGCAACAACATTCAAACAGGCTTCAACTCCAGAATTCAAGGAATATGCTCAGCAAATTATAAATAATGCAAAACAGTTAAGCGAATCACTTCAATCTAAGGTAAACTCTCATGTGCATTTATCCTTAAGTTCTTTATTCACGTGATAAATCAACAAAACCGGTTTTTTATCTACTGTTTTTATTTCAGGGTTACAAAGTAGTGACTGGTGGAACAGAAGTTCACATGTTGCTGCTCGATTTACGGCCATCTGGAATATCAGGAGCAAAAGCCGAATATATTCTGGAAGAAGTGTCGATTGCGTGCAATAAAAACACTGTTCCTGGAGATAAGAGTGCTTTGAATCCTTCCGGAATCAGATTAGGTGTGTATGCGAAAATTTCAGTATCAACTTTGAAAACAGCTGTGATGCAAAACTTGTAATCAATATAGTTGTAATCAATAAATTCCTATTGCCACCTTGAACACATGTAAATAACTTGAATATCTGATACAGTGTGTCTTTTAATAGGAACTCCTGCACTAACGACCCGTGGACTGAAAGAAAGTGACATGCAACAAGTTGCAGCATTTATAGATCAAGCAATCAAACTAGGCAAGGAGATCGGCAAAGAGTCGGGACCTAAATTAGTCGACTTTAAAAAGTCTGTTCACTGTGGTGAATGGAATTCTAAAGTCGAATGCCTTCGCAATGAGATTGAAGCATTCAGCGAAAAATTCCCCATGCCTGGATATGATTGTTACTAGAAATCGATTACTGATCAGGCAAGTCTTTAGGCCTAAGGTTTGCATTAATGTTAGAACTTTATTATTTTCGGTACACTGTCATAGTACAGATGTAAGCTGTGATTTTCAAATCATTAAACGACAATCCGTGTGCTTATACATTAATCATATATTATTGTTTGTATATCATGCCACAACTTTTTATTACATTTATTATATCATACAATATTGTTTTGTTTTAATTAGATAACTGAGTTATTGGGTCAAACAAAGACCAGTGGTTAAAGATTAAATGCCAGAAGGGTAAATTAAATAATAAGGGATATCGGATTAATCTAAAAATTAATTAATTAAAGTTGCGACCGGAATAAAGTGAGTTTTTGCGAAAGGCAAAAAATAGTTTGTTAGTGCAGTAACTAATAAACTAAAATAGCTAATTTATCAAAATATGAATTAATTTTGGTATGGCGTAAATGGTAAATCCGCGTTCTATTTGAAACAAGGACTTATGCATGTCATTGGCCTTAAACTTTGATCAGCCTCCTCAGTGTCTGGTGAGCTCTTGGTCATTTGTGTGGTGCTCGGCACTGATATCGTTTTGCTGCAACAATTTAATTTAATAAAGTCGTTATTATCAGACTGCATGGTAATATTTGCTAGTTTTTCAACTACTGAAATTTTTTAATCCGATAATAATTTAGTTTTCCCCTTTTAATATGGCAATATAAAGACATCACTGTGAATTAGTGAACCTAAAAATTCATTTTACATGCTGCCCAATTTTTCCCCGACATGCTGCCCAAGTCGGAGCATATTGGAACAAATACCTGTTTGAATCATAATTTTCATCATCTTCACTTTGCAATTCGGCATCGTTTAGAAATATCAACTGGCATCGATCCTCTTCTTCGCAAAATTGGTTTAGTGTGCCGTTATATACCAGTAAATCGTCAATTAAGATCTAAATTAGAAAAACATCATCATAAACAACTTATTATCAATATAATCAAATGAATCACCCCAAAATCTTTCACTCCCCTACTGGAAGTTTTCGAATAATTCCACATCTTTACATAAGAAATGGCTATCGGCATGTCCATTACAATATAGACCCTATTTAGGTGCTTCGGTATTCGTGGTGCCAACCAAGAATGGCAACCCGAGTCGTTCTCGTTGTCATCTTCTATAAGTTTTTCTGGCGTTCGCGGATCGTCGCTTACATTTGGTAGCACGTTTACACTTTCCGGATAAGCGCAAACATCTAAAAGTCATTATTTTCAATGTTTTCATTTGAATTAGGAAATATTAATACTTTGTTCCTCAAGCACAATTAGGTCACCATTATCATCGTACAGTTTAATGCCGTTCAAACCACAGTAGTACTGATCGCCCCATGTTGAATAGATTACGATTTCCATTACAAAACCAAAAACGCAATCAATTGTTGGAGAATACACTTTTGGAATTATGCCTTGTTCAACAAAGCTGGTTGACCAAACATATTTATTCAGGTTATTAAAAACTAATTTAAAAGCGCAGTTAACACAACATGTTATCTACCTTATATCCTGTACAAAATCGTAGAATGAGTTGCCAGGAGCTCTTCGTAGTAAGAAATAGTCGCTATTAAGTGAAGGATTAGTAATTAATTGGTTATCCAAGAATATTTTAACAATCTTGACTCCGGCATAGCTGAGCTCTAGATTTTCATTGTAATTCCATACTCTGAGCCCTAAAGCGAACCATTAATTTAGCATTATTTCTTTGACTTAACCTGATGGAACATACCGGAGAGATACTTAAATTCACACAAATCAATAGAAATAACCACGTTATCCTGTTGCAAGGGAACACACCACATATTTTTCGAATCGGTGGTAACATTTTCCCTATTTACCAAATTTTTCAAATTTTTGCTTTTCACATTGCTGCTCAGCTGTCCGTACTTTAAGCTACGATTGGTAATAAAGTAATTGCCGAACACCACACACTTCTTTCTTAATTAATCCGGGCATTTGCATTACAAGTAAGGTACCTACCTTAAAATATTATCTGTACCTTCAACAATCTCAATTCCAGTTAAGCCTGTTGCCAAGGGATTTTCCCAGTTTTCCACTAATATCAAATCCAAGGTTCGAGCGCCTAAAAGGATTTGCTCTGGAGATCCATCTAGTTGAGATTGTTGTTCAGTATTGGCTGTACTTGATTTAGTAGAAGGTAAACCAGTCACAGGACGAATCTGGAAGATTTTAACGAGTAATAAATGTTTTCTCACTAATAGAAAATTACCTCAGATAATAGAACTGAAGTCGGAGGTCGCTCGTCTCTACTGGGCGAATGCGGTTCATATGTCATGCTTAAAAATGAAGAATCATTGAGGGATATTTTCTCTAAGATTATATCGTCCGTGGTAAATAAAATGGTCTGTAAATTGAGATTTATGACTTTCAAGGATTTTCAAATATCTAGATTTACATCTCCAAAATTCTGCAATCCTCCTTGTATCCCTCCACACGCTTTAGCAATTTCTCCCTTAAATATAAGCTCGTCGTCCAAAAGCATAACGATATCCTTGGCACCTCGATATGAATGAATCCTGGATTTATTATAGTTCTGTTAAGACCAAACACATTGTGATTTATCGAGCTGTACTAGCAAAGATGGTTTCATTTTACCCAAATTCTGACCATAGCAATGGTGACAATGTTTTCAAATTCAATTGTAATAATGTGGATTCTACCCTGGTAAAAGGGCGCCAGCCAGATATGCAAATCATCTTTTGTTCGATTTACTCCGTCTAATAAGTTTGATACCACTCGAGGGTCATTTTGGCATTCTGGTAAAATATTCACATCAGAAGGCACTGCAAAAATCTAAAAAGTAGCCGTACATTTTAAAGTTCCTATTTTCTTCTTCATAAGGTAAGTTATTATTATGATAAATTTATTTAAAACCGAGTTTGTTTTTTTGGAAAAACCTTCAAATACGTCTATTTTTATTTTAGGTTGTCCGTTCTCTGACAATAAATTATTTTTTACTGGGTGGCTCAATAAGTTACGCTTATCTATTTAATATTTTCAAATGTAACACTTTTTGTATCTCAATTTGAAAACATGAAATTTCCGGTATGTTTCTAGAACTATAATGAGCACATGTTTACATAAACTTGGAAGAGAAATTTGCGATTGCACATAAACTATAACCGTCGAGTTCTCTCAAAATGTATGTCGTGCTGAAAAAACACTTGTTTAGAAAACAAAACAACAAATCAAAGAACATGTTCACATTTTTTTTGTTGTCTATAAGAACATTCAATTGTGTTTGTGTTGTTATTTTATATTTTTTATTATTGGCTAATTCCTGTTTATATGTTCACACAGAAATAGAATAATAACCGTACTTAAAATAAGTAATAAATGCGGTTGCAATGTTTGAGAGGAATTTAACTAACATTAATAGACATTTTGCTAACGGTATGGATAAATAATAAAATAAAATGTTGATAGAATCTAAACAAAAGCTGATATTGCAAACTGTTTACTGATAAGAAAGAAAATAACATTTCAAGTTTTGCGTAAGTGACAATGTTTTGCTATATTTATAACAAAAACTTTGTCAAAAAGTTTCTGTTTATTATGCAAAATAAAAAAACTGTGCAAAATTATTTACACAAACTGAAACCGCACCCAAACAAAATAGATTTAATATATTATCGTGAATGAAGAAGATCCCGACCGGAAATTAGAGCTTTGAAAAAATATTAATAAGATTCAATTTCGTCCCTCAAATTTTAAATAAGATGTTTCTCCCAGCAACTGAAAAACTTTCTTTGTTATGTTTAATTTTTAATCGGTCCTTTTCAGAACGGTTTAACAGAAAATGTTCAGTCGCAAATTTCTCGATAATTGCTGAATTTAGGAATAAGATATGAGAAGAAGGGTACGTAGAAGTTGATGCAAAATTCAAAAATTAAACACAAATGAGTGATTCCATGTAAAACAATTCAGTTGAGGCGTAATTTTTTCACATTGAGTTTTTCATTATTTTTTCTAACCCAAACTGCTGACTTATTGCAGACACCAAAATGATTGGAATAGGAATAATGAAACACAATATCAATTACCTGTCTAACATTTGGAACTTCACCATGCTCGTTAAATATTTCTATTCCGTTTAATCCCACATAATACTTATCGCCCCACGTAGTTAAAATATTAATTGTTAAGACCTAAAAATGTTTAAACAAGTTGAACAAAGTTGAGATTAAAGAATCTATTATGCCTACATATAATCGAACTTCCCCTATTCCGATCACCAGTTTAAAATTAATATAATTTGCTTAAATGTTTGTGCTAGATTTTAGATGTTTTTTTAATAGTATGTGATAGATTACATCATTAGTTTAAAATTTAAAAATAGAGGTTTACGATGTAGAAGTAAAACGTATCCTAATGTGTTTAACTCTCAAGAATCAGAAAAGTGTCTTTATTTAATTCTTCAGACTGTCTAAAATAGTTCGTGCCAAATTATATGGTCTGTTTTGGAAGATGACAATGCAGTGTCTATTTTTTTTGTGGGCTCTATTATATTTAACCTATTGTTTTATTTAGACATTGGATTATGTTGTGGCTTTGTGGCATGGATACATAATGTTTCTCTGAATATTCAAAAGATTCTGCTTTTATCAACGTTTTACCGTTTGGTAATTCTTTTGAGTTCTCTTCATTCAATTCGTTTTCAAAATCTCCTATAAAGTATTGCTCACCTGTCCTTTAGGTAACTCTGGTATAATAAAACTGTCACCTCTCCTGGCAATATTTGAACAAACCCAATCATCCTTTTTATCACGATAAAAATTTTCATCTTGTGGATAACTAGTCCTCCTGTCGATAAATTGGTCCTTGCTTTTCGAATGGCTTTTGTGCACTTTCGGGCTTAATTGTTGCAGTTTGCTTTTTGTTCTAGAACCTGAAATAACATTTACTTCATTGCCATTTTCTTCAATAATACCGTTATTACCTGAGCTAGTAATCCGTTCATTTTCAAACAGGAGCTCATTGATCATCATTTCTCGGAGCTGGTACTCTTCGTCTAATCGCGATTTGTAGTCATACATTCGTTTGTCGAACTTGCTTTAAATGATACGAAAAATCAAATGGCTTTAAATTTAATATTTTGCAATGAATCACCTGCTTGGTTCTCTAGTACTGTTACTGATATCCATACTACTAGACTTTTCATGGGAGCTTTTCAGTCTATCACTGGAAACTGTTTCAGAAGATCTGGACTTGGAAATTCGATACGACGTTACAATAGATTCTTCCGGTTGCAGATGCTTGAAACGAGCCCTAGCAGTGTGTTTTTCTGCAGCTTTTCTAATATTTCCGTATTCATACAGAGGCAACGCATTAGACATTTCACTTTTACACCTTTCTCCCACTTCAGTAATGCCTACAAATTATCCTGTTAATTCAAGATAGATCCAAAATTAAATTATCACTCACTGCTTTCCGGTGAGGATGGCAAATCAGGAATGTCCCATAAATTATCTAGAAATTTGTTATTTTATTTAAATTATATTTTATCTGATCAAAACCCACATACTTACGGCTTTCGGGTGCACTCTATTCTATCTACACTCAAAAAAAACCGCGATATAACAACGAAGAAAGCTACATTGAATCGTTAAAATTAATTTATTCTTTTATCGGAAAATATACATAAAGCGTTTTTTATTTATACATTACATGCACATGCTGCTATGTCTTACCCGGTATCAGATCGCCTGAAGCTGTAAACCCGGGATTGCTGGAAATTCGTGTATCGTTGTCCGCTAGTTTTTTCTCTATAGGCAATCGGCCTTTATGGGACTGATTAAATTCGCTCAGGCTTTTCCAGGACTTTTCCAGTTGTCTGTCAATGTTGGAAACAGTTTCTATTTCGAGATTTCCTTCCAATTTTGGCACCACATAGTCCGACATAATTGTTAGGTTTGGCGGCTGTTTTTCTTTATAGAGATCCAAAGCGACCGACGATCTTCGCCCATATTTTGCAGAATTCGATGTGGAACTGTTTACGCTTAAAATAATTTCAATGTTTAAGTAAATAAAAAGTAGTGAGTTTTCAGGAATTAATAGAGCGACGAATATTAAGTAATGTTTTTCTAATGCTCTAAAGTAATTGAAAATATATGTACCTAGATGCAACTAAAATGTTTTTGAATTTTTAGAAAAATGTTTTTGGAACTTCAATATTTTCGACATTTCCATCTAGATATACGAATGAGACACAAATAATACGATTAAGTAATAATAAATACGATTAGGTAACGGCTAAACCAATTGGATGAAAAATGTATGTTCTTTTACACTGACATATTCAATCTATGTAATTCCATGAAAAATATAAATTTTTAAAACTTATGTTTAACTCTGTTATTATGTTTACACTTTGTTTAGCAGAAGAACCTCACAAGCATTGATTGTTGCAAGTTCTTCTTGTCCACTCAAAAAAAAAACATGGAAAAGTAATTTACCCGTCATTATTTCACATATCTGTCCTGAAACCTTTCTGGAAATTGGACGAAATTTACGAAACAAATAATGTTGCGATAGTAAATAATTCTTAATTGCAGAGGCACAAAAAAGTTTGTAACATGGTGCATATACATGGTGTTTCATGTTAGTTCCACTCTCTCAAATATCGATTCTAGGATTGATTGTATGAAATTAATAAATGAAAATGTATTTCTATTCATTTTCAAAAGGTGCCACGAAAACGGATGTTATTTTTTTGAAAAAAGAAATTTATTAATTTATGAGTGATTTTTAGTACCTATCATTTTTATGTATATCATGATTGCTTAATTTATCATTAATATTATCTAGCCAGTTTATCTTTCTGATATGTTTCTTATGTGACTACGATATTTCTAAATAATTACCCTCAACATGTTAAATGAGTAAACTTCAGCCTTTTGTAACCAAAAATTCATATTTTGCAAACATTTATAATTTATTAAAAGGTATATAATGAATAAAATTATTTTTCTTTGCCGTTTGACTTCTCGAAATAACAGCAGATAAGAGCAATAGGTACTTATTTTTTCTTAAACAAATTTAGTTTTAATATGATTTATTGCCAATGAAATGATTATATAATAAATACAATACTACCATATTCAATTTCGAAACAGTAAAAAGTTATAAGGTGTCCATAAAAAATACACTCAAATTTTAATCGTGATGGTTTGAGAACAACCAAAGTGTGAAATTGAAAATATAGCTCTTCAGCCAAAACGTCTATGACAATATCTTCATATTTAAGGAAATGAAAGAAAGGATTTCGAACAAAACTAAGATGAAACACGTTTAAGTAAAAGTCATTATTTGGCTGTGAGCTTGAAAGCTTAACACGACACAACTAAGTTATCCGGCATTTAAAAAAAAATAACTGATAAATGTCTTAAATAATGTAGGTACCTTCTCGGATCTCCAATTTTTCCTTCCATGTATGGTATTCTATTTGGAATATTTGAGGTGCTAAAGTTAAGTCCAAACGGCATTTGTTCCTTCGATTTATTTGCCGGATCTTCAAAATATTCGCGAGAAATTGTACTAGAATTTGCCATATTAGTCAACACTTCAAAAGCATCAAAACGCCTATTTGCAAACCTTGTAATATCTTCCAACCATTTTGGCACTTGTCCACCCATGAATGAGGATTTTTTTTTAGAAGAACTTTCAGGGGTATTTTGTGCCTCCTCTTTGCTGCAGACGCCTTTACTTTCTTCCATTATTATCAAGAAGTAAAAACCATTAAGTGGTGGTAGGAGCAAAATAATAAAATTTTATATATTACAAATGTAAACTTGGAATTTTCACATGTTTCTTTGAGTAAAAGATATAATTCACAGTGATTCACTGTTATTTAGACATTGGCGGTTTGTTTGGATCGGCTAGTATTCCATTGTCGCTTGAATCCCCATGGCAATCGTTACAGGGCTGGATTTTATTTCGGCTAGATTAAAACGTATTATAAAAGCAAAGCAAAAAAGCAACTGGAAGTTAGAAAACAAATAATTTTAGAAAATTTACATGTCGATGTCGATCAGATAATTTTTTGCGGGAATTTAATCACAATTAAAACTGAAAATCAAACGTAAAAATTCCTCTATTCATACATAGATTTATCAGTATAGAAGATACCAAGAGCAAATCGTTTTTTGTATGTTTGCAGTTTGCTCGTACTTCTAAACAAACCTGATGAGTTCGACCACTTAAACCTATTTAGAAATATTGCAACTATTAAATCTCGACCGTGATTCATAAGCATTGAAAAAGGCAGAACATTTTTAGACCAAAAACACGGTGTAAAACGAAAAGAACTCCAAAATCAATTAACCTTTAATTACACATCTTTTGCGAGCTCCGTTTTTAAGGTTTTTATTTAAATGGGACAATGAGGCTTGGCCTCCATGTAACGCCCTAGTTAATGTAAAATTTATAACAGAATCTGGAGGGCGGTTTCAATCAATCAATCAATACATTATCTAGCTATTGCTAAGGGACTGGATTAGTTTTGTTTCCTGAGCATTACTAAAAATATGTAGTAAATGCTTGTTTAATTGGAAACGTTCAACACTAATTCATATTATAGTTGAAAACGTAAATATTGACCAAATTACCAACTATTGTAGATGGTAGACTTACCTTTCATTTAAGTTTTAAATTATTGCTAACTATGAAATAACAACACTCAATGTCAAATAAACTTCGTGCTGTATTAAACAGAATTTATTTAACATAAAACAATAAATACGGCATACAAAAAATGCTTTATTACAATTGAAATTTGAAGTATAATTTTTAACAATTTCGTCCGCTCCTTTACTAGGTTTTCTTTCTGTAAATCTTAAAAAATTGAAGAAAAAATCATCAGTTTTGTTGATGAATGTTTAACACAGTGTTGCACATAAGGACAAGTAAACTTCTCTAAGTACTTATTTAAGATATTAAAATGAAAACGACTTTTGACTGAATTGAAGTAGTTGAATATACTGATAATTATTTTCTTCGTATAAATTAGGATACAATTTCGTAACAATATTAAGGTGTAAATATTATTTTTAATGGATAATGTAAATTGTAGCACAATTTGTTCACATTTTTACGATGTGCCCATAAACGCAATTCAAAAACCGTGACGCTTTTGATAGGCACGAAAATTGAACTGTGTACAACTTTTTTAAGCGTACCAACTGTGACCGCTTTGTCTACTGACAATGTAATGAGACTTGTAATGCCGCAGTGATGAGTGATAATAGAAAAAGTTAAAATAATATTAAATTATGTAATCGATTTGAGTTTTTGATTGAGCCGAGTAAATATGATTTACACTGGAAAACACTGGAAAAAAGAAAATAACAAGAATATAAATGAAACGATAAAACGAAATATAATGGAGTATCCTCGAAATATCAAGAATAATCATATACCACTAATTTAATGACTCTATAACAAAATATATAACTCAATTAATTAATCGGACATTGGGGATGCGCTATTCAAAAATATCAGTGCAAGTTTTTATGAAATATATTCCTTTTTCGTCATAGCTCAAGTAATCCAGCCGGAGTTGGAAAAAGTATCTTGTCGAGTATGAAATAAAAATTAATTTCAGCGAAATAGAAAGGAAATCATCTAGTAAGAGTTACCGTGTTACAGTAATAAATACTAAAGAAAATATGTAAACAGCCCCGCTAAATTACCTAGTACGTACGAAATAAACGATAACACAATTATATCGACCTCTATTGGTTCATAAAATATCTCAATCGATCTTCAAATGACGTTGGATTTGAACTTGCACTTCATTACTTAGAGCCTGGTTTTGATCATATTCCCAAAACACTTCACTGTGATGCACCAATAAAGATCGGATATATTTTCAATAAGTTTCGTGGCAAATTCGTCGAAGGTGGCCAATAATTAAGTAAGGAATCAATAGTTTATACAAATTTGTTGCTGACCACGACACGGATGTTGAAACGCTACATCATTCCCATTCGGTAGTTCCAGGAGGCTTCGAGGTTAAATCGTACAGAACTCGTGAAATGCCCGGTACTTTTTCTACTTCTTGAACCATTTTCTGTACCACCTAAATAAAACAATAATCGTTTAGTATACATCTGTAATAATAAGTTTAATATATCAATATTGTTGAGCTATTACTGATGCTAAAATAACAAAACAATGCTTTTTTGTCAGAAAAAATGCTTATTAAGAAACAAAAATATACCACTGATCCAGTTTCCACAGCAAAAACTTCAGATATTGTATAGTTTCTTATATAAATTACATGTTCAAAAAATGTTTTGTTAAGGAAGTAGAGAGTGGAGTGAGAATATAATTATTTGTGGATTAACTGGTGAAGGTATTTCGAGCACATTTACTAGGCGTTAATTGCCAACGAAGAAACACATTTTTGCTTCAGCAGTAGCGTCTATACAAGCAAATTGCAGAATATTTTACCGCTCCGTTAATGCTTTTTTATAAAATAAAAGCAACTTTGGAATTTACGATCTAGTTTGGATTGTTCTCAGAAGAAGGAAACTAAACTTAACTTTCACGAAAAAAATGTTATCAACGTGATAAATCGACGAGTTAAATGAAAATTAAAAGCGCTGGAGGGTTAAATTTAAATTTCGCTCAACCCATTATGTACAAATCACTACAATACTTGGTCTTGGTACTATAACCAATCAGGCTTAATTAATTGAAAAGCAAGAAATCATAGTGATTTGGTAAACTTACCTCAATTGGAAGCTCCCTGCCAGGTAGCGCTGCCGTACCAGTCATGAAATCTTGGGTGCAGAAGGGACGAATTACTATCGACCGCTGACACGATGGTATTCGAAGCGCTTGGTCGCGATCGAAATGTAAAGGAATCAAGATCACAGCCATTTGGCTCACTGAGCCCATGTGTCCGGAACTGTGTAACACCTAAAAACATATATGGTACATTATTCCCGCATAACTTTTACGTCGAAAATTTGCAAAATAACAACTTAGTAGAAGGCTGACTTACCCCCATAGCTGCATCGTCGCACTGCCTTAAAGTCGCTAAAACATGGCTAGTCAGGTAAGTAGGTGTGACATCTGGTAAAGGTTCTTTAACCACACCACCAAATACATAACACACGCGGTTGACGTTCCGGCACACACGCGGCATCAAGCGAGCCAAAAATAACATATCTGACCAATCGGGTTCTCGTTCACTGGATACACCTACAGCATACGAGTAGGTGCGTCGATCTCCTTGAACACCTACAGTACGTACTGGCAGCAATGTGGCTGCAAGACGTTGTTTGGATGATATTCGTCTAAGCATGAGCCTGTAAGGAAAAGGTCAAACATATCAGGTAAGAACTACCATCTAGACAAGGTAAACATTACACTCGTAATACTAATCTTGATCTGCTAAGTTAGTAGGTAAATCAGAACGAGGCAAGAGACCTGCTGAACTCAAATGTTTTTGGTTTTGTACCAACAAGTATTCTTATAAATGCTAAACCTACTATGAAAACAATAAAGGAGAAATTAATGAAATTTGCTCAAATTAATAAACGTTGATAGCGATGTTTCAAGCGGGTTTACAAATACAGGTTAATTTTCAGGACAAAAATAGAATTGTATTGTGTATTTTTAATAGTTTTCATCAACATCAACGCATCATTCAAAAATATTGCCCATACATAATGACTTACCGCTCCTCATCAGTAGTAACAGCTTCCACCCTATTGAGCAACGCATGCTTCTTCTGAAGCATTTGATCAAACTCGACTAGAATTTTAACAAGTACTTGAGTTTCTGAAAAATCTCGCTCCATATACGGTTCCTCTGCGCATAAGATTCGAATGGCCAAACCGGGGCCAGGGAAAGGATGTCGCATGACCAGCTCGGCAGGTAAGTCCAAGTCTTTTCCTATTATCCTAACCTGAATAAAAAAAATAACATGTATCTTATATATCTGATAAAGGAAAGTTAAACAAAACATACCTCATCTTTGTGAAAGTCTTTTAGAGGTTCTACAACTCGGCCTTCTTCTCTTAACTTTCTTATCAATCCGGAATCGTTATGATGCGTTTTGATTGTGTCCGCTTTTCCTGATACAAGTGAGGACGCTGATTCTATCAAATCAGGCCTGCAAGACAATCCCTTTTTAATCTCCAAATTGTTGCTTGATTTAACCTTATTAAAATCACTATATGGACAGCACATGTTTCAATATAATCACCTCAAAGTTCCTTGTCCTAATAACACTTCTTCAGGCTTCAATTTTAGATCCGCGATTATTTCGTCGGATATTTTAACAAAAATATCTCCTATTATTTTTCGTTTCTCCTCTGGATTCGCCGTGTTACATAACATTTTAGTAACGCGTGTTCTTGCATTACCTACAGAAAATGTTATTTGTAACAACGTATATGTTTAAATATACAATTTAACACAAGCAATCGAATAAAAACAGGGTGCTTGTGGAAAAATTACATTCATGGAGATTTTAGGGAAACCAGTCAGCAATCTTTTTCAATTTTTGACGATGGGCCCAATTCAAGGATTTGAATCTCAACATAAGCATACGCATTATAACATAACAAGCATACGCATTATAACCAATTAATCCTTGATCTAAACGACTGTACAAAGACATATGTGAAAAAATCAAGCTTTTCAGTAGAAAACAAAACAAAAACACTTTGAATAATGTTACTGCAATAAATTTCAAAGGTGAAATAGAAAACGATTAATGTTTTTTTATACCTACAAATCTTACTTCATTGTCAAGATTTCTTCGTTGGTTTCAGAAATAGCCATTAGGTAACTTCCCGATAGACACCGTTAATATATTGAATTGCTTAATGACGACAAGAAGAGCGTGTGAATTCAAGATTGATTTGTCACCATCCTACATACTAAAACATACTAACCGTCTTTATCAATAGGAACCACTGTGCTGCCTTCAGAGAACGTCGCTGCCGCTTTGATCACCTTTAAGTCGAGACCTAACTTCTGCAACGAATCGTGTACTTTGGCGCTCTCATGTTTCCTCATAAAACCATTGTCAATGTGAATCGCAATGACCTGATCTGATCTTAGGGCTTTGTGGAAAAGAGCTGCGCAAACTGTACTGTCTACACCGCCACTAACTAGCAGAAGGACCTAATAAAACATTTCCATAGAATGTTTCAATGTTTCGTTATTATCAATACTACCTTATTCATACCAACTGTTTCCTTTATATATTTGATACATTGCTCCTCTCGATTTTGAATTGTAAAGTTCCCGGTTAGTGCACAAATGTCAAAGAGAAAATTCTTCAACATTGTTTTGCCATTAACGGTTAAATCGACCTAGAATTAAGTGCAAGGTATTACTTCTAGCAACGAGTTTCAGTAGCATAAATTTTTACTTCGGGATGAAATTGAACCCCAAAAAGGTTTAGTTTTTCGTTACTAATTCCCGCTATGAAAGCCTGAGATTGTGCTATTGGCTTAAAGCTGTCTGCTACTTTTTCTATTGAATCTCCATGGGTCAATAGGACTTCTTGAACTTTGTCTAATCCTCTATAAATAAGAAAAACAAATTTAATAAAACCGTTGAAATTTCTTTCATAAAAGAAAATAACTGATTTTTAAAGTGTCATTTCAGGTGTAGCTAGAGTTCTATGATCTCAACAAACTCCAGTTGTTCCAGAAATATTTTCTTTAGGAGGATTGTATCAGCAATGTGACCAGATGGGACTTTCATTACTTTCTTATGCCTCCAACTAAGTGATATATAAACAATGATTGATTTTCACTTACTTGAACAACAAACACTTGGTGTTGATTTCTATTAGAAACTGACCATCTTCTCTACTCTCTTTTCTCATTACAGTTCCACCGAACTCCTTGTTCATCATCTGCATACCGTAGCAAATACCTGAGAAAAAATAATAAGCCGTAAAAACGCATTGATTTTATATTGGAAGTATGCTATACCTAGAACAGGAATTCCTATTCGAAAAATATCTGCATCGTATCTGGGTGCATCTTCCGCATACACAGAGCTTGGCCCGCCTGAAATGATAATCGCTCTATATGATGCTTCCTTGATGGAGAAAGCTGGCGTGTCCAGGGGCAAGATGTCGGATTCGACATTCAATTCTCTAACTTTTCTATCGATAACCTGGAAAATAAAAATTATTGAAAGTTTAAGTGTATACCTGCTTTTACCATCAAATTTTTTTATTAAGATAGCGCTAAACTTTGAACAGTGACATCTTAACAATATTGCTATAATATCGGTAACATAAATAATTAAAACCGTTGGCCTCAGTAACTAGTTATTAGTGTTTTCTGAAGCAGTGATTTTGTGTGGGAATCAATATTCAATTCTCATGTTCATTAGAGCAAAAGAATCAACCAACATGAGAAAATGCAGCTATTGTTAAATACTCGCTAGAGAATAATCGTGCATATTTACCTACCGAATGAGAACTGAAACCTGATAAAAGCAAGTTCAATTTCGAACTTAAATTCCATAATATATTTATTTAAACTTTGTTCGCCGCTTTGCTATAGAATTTCTTTCAATGTGAAAATTGAGTAAAGCAACTCAATCTTTTTTGAACATTAATCCGATAAATGTTCAAGTAAACAGATGAAAATACACTTACCTTCCCATATTGGGCACCAGCATCCAAAATGCAAATCTTCTCTGTATTATGCCCTCCATTTACGTTCATGTATTGACCTTCTGGATTTATATTGTGCATAGCTCTGCTCCAGCAACACTGAAAAAGAAACAAACATTTATTTCTGAATTAATGATATAACATTTACAGACAATAACAACGCAGTAAATATTTGAAAAAACTACCTGAACAAAAGTAGAAAGTAACTTCGTCTAATTAAACAACGCTCTGAATAATCACTTCATGTGAGTTCTAATGTATCATTAGTTAGTAATTTTACCTTGTTCAATATTCGTTTATTAGCAAATAATTCGTTTCGTTACTGACGCATTACTTCAAAATGTTGCAACATTTGCTTACTATTGATATAAGCTGCATTACGAAAATGCCAATTTCCTAATCATCGGCCCAAGGAAATTTAATAAAACTGATAAGAACTGTTTGGCTACTTCTCCAAAAACCATACATACATGATCATGAAGAACTATGAACAAATAACTTCAAACTTTTGAGAAACCTACTTTTTTGACAATTTTCTTTATACATAACGTACTTAATAACTAAAAGTAAAACTGACATGTTTAATTTCCTTATTATTCATCTGTTTGATCCGTTTTATGTAACCTTGTAATCTGTAACTTTGACCTCATCAGAATCCCATTTAAAAATATCGTTGGATGCTCATAAGATGATAGCATTCAAATCTCGAACAGTGTTACTAAAACCTATTCAGATTGGACATAGGTAATCCTAATTTGATTCAACCAATTCATATATTTTTGTCTGAGCTAAAGCAAATTCTAATCTAAGTAAGAGAGAGAACGTACCAAAGTTTTAACTATAACATCGCCAAAACCCATAAAAATAATTTGTAAACAATGTGACTCTTCAAACGCTTACAGTACACTGTTATCAAAAATGTAGAATTCAAATTTATGATACCTATCTATAGGTATAACAATGAACATATCAGTTTGCATATCGACACACAGATGTTAGTTAAATGACCGAATTAATATGCGAATGAGTTTTTAATTAAGCAACCCCACATATACATGTATTAGCTTTTTAAATTTTTCCCAACATGGGCTTTTTGTTACCGCTATATTCGATTTTTTTACAAATCGAAATAAACACTTAACATCTAAATCTGGCGCATTAGAGTTTTCAAGCAAAGTTAATATTTTTTTCAGATAATGGCTTATTAAAACCAAATATTTGCAATAAATGTTAGGGTAAAAAACTCCAAGACAAAAATAATAGACAACAGTAAAACCGGTAAGCTCACGACATAAAAACAAAAACTCCAACTAGTTAAAGATGCTCTACAAGTTACCAATAGATTTAAATTCATTCCTAGGTCATTATACCTCTGGATTAAGCCTATATGAACTAACTATACACAAAAGAATTGCAACAATAACTTCAACACGCTATTTTCATCTAAAACTGACAATATCTAAATTTAAACTCCCGAGATGTGAGTAAGCAAACTTTTGGCACAAACGTGACGGTGGTATATTTTTGTTATGATAATGCAGCGAACTGTATTTCACTTTCTATTGGTTTGGATTAGTGGTTTGCGATTCATTTCCAGAGATTCCACTAGTTTTCATTATAAATTCGAATTCAAACACTAAGGTTAAGTATTGCAGAAACAAAAATATCAATAATGAAACTACTAATAAATAATCGATCTACGATAAAGTATCTAATGATGGCACCTAAAATAAATATTAATTTACGTAGTTTACTTACGATTATGTACCTAAAGTTTTACGATAGGTTTAACATGATATCGAGGATTTTAAATTTAATTTAACTTTGTTGCATAGAATAGATTTGAAAAATGATTCTTTCTAGCGCATAGAAATCCTGCGAACTTACTTGAAAAGGAGAAATTAATTTGTGTGCCTGGGAAAATGTTCGATATTTGTGAATGAGATGTTTTAAGCCTGGACAGTCAACAACGACAGAGATATTAGTTTAAAAAGGTTATTTTTATTTTACCAGGGCCATGTCTATATGATTGCATTTAAAAAAATATTTTATTGCCATTAAAAATTGATCAGCACATAATTTCAATCGGCTTAGGCTTTGGCGTATTTATTAATACGTGAAACTTTAAACATTTTTAATGAAAGTTGAGCTTTTTACTTAAGAAGAATTATACATAATTGCATTACAAGTTATTATGCAAACAGTACTGAGACATTCGTTGCTTCAAAAAGCAAGTCTCTCAAGAGAAAATAATGTGCGAAGTCTGACTTAGCTTTTGTTGAGACAAAATGTCTGGTTTCTAATCTATAAATGGTCAAAGTTCTTTAAAAATATATATATTTTTTTTAATATCGGAAGAATGTTAAGATCAATTTTTAAAAAACTTGCTCCTATTTTGTTCCTACGTAAGATTTAGATTAAGCTTCCGCGTCCATCTCTTTTGGGCAAATGGTAATTTCTTGATTCTTGTAAGACAAAAATTACTAGAACTTTTTACTTGATAGCTGAAATTACCTTCATTTTTGTATTGCATCCATTAAGACTTTTTCGAGATTTTTCTGATCTTTGTAAAATTCCGTTATGTTCAAAGTTTATGCGCCAAAAATGTTGTTTTCTCAGCTCATTGACTAAGCTTAAGTTCTATTTTCATTTAAACAATTGATTATTCTGAACAACCACCAATGACAAAAATAATGTACAAACGAATCATATTTCAAATAATCATGAATAAGAATATATTAGAAGAAAGAACAAACAAAAGAACTTGATCGATTGTGTTTCTAAAATATCACATTAAAGTATACAGGGTGATCCTAAATAAGCATCGCATCGGAAAACTGTGAGTTCATCATAAAGAAACACTTTTTCCATTTTTCTCTCCGTGTTTTCGTTTTCGAGGTATGTATATTAGGTAAATCATTTAATTTATTTGTAAATTTTTGCGAATATGTTGGGAACCGTTTGAACTACACGACTGAGCCGTTGCACCCACATTTCAACTATTAACAGCTACTTTTTGCACTCCCTTCGAATTCAACGTGCCAATTTAACGAATTGTGTGTTTTTGTTCCTAAAAAGGCATTAATCTCGAAAATGGTTAACTTTAAAGCAATACACCAAGAGAGCACTTTTTGGTGTAACATTAATTGGCGCTTCCGTAAGTATTTGCAATTAAAATTTTTGAATGGCCATAAAACAAGTTTCAGTGAATTATTTTACTCATTAATCAGACTTAATGCAAAGTGATCTGAGCAGAATAACTCAATAAACTATTATTTTTTAAAATACTGAATGAATTGCCGCTGGCTACGAAAGTGTAGTGTACTTGATGTAAGGTTATGTTAACATAAATAAAGCACAAGGAAATAAAATAACTGAAACCTTTCACGATTGCAGCAGATTAACAAACAAACCGTGAACGATTACATGAAACTGTTGAAATAACGAATTTAAAGGGCAATGATATGCGATAGATATGCAAGACAAAATGTCAATAGATGGATTTGTAAAGTCACTAAAAATGTATAAGGAATACATATCTTAGCTATTCGCTTGTAGCCAGAAGTGCCATAAGAAAGTGGTATCATCCAGACCCGGATGGTTGCATTTAAAATCCACGTGTGTACCATAAAATAGGCAAAATAATATTGTGACATAAAGTACCATGACCTACACGTACCTGGCCCTTATGGCTGAAATAATGTTAATAAAACCGGCAAAATTCGATGAAAAACCCACTTGCAGTGCGCACGCTTTGCCTCAGTCTATACCTGTACGTAACAAAAACTCACCTCAGTACTAAAAACAACAATTATTTAACAGGAAATATAATTATTTTTTCTTAAACACCGTAACTTCACATTACTGAATAGCGAACCGAACAGAAAAAACTGTATGACAAGCGACATTACCGATTGAATGGACATGTCAAAGGAATTGCTGAATTAAACTATTGAACACAGATGGCGCCCAGATGTTTTGATGTATCTCTTTTCCTCCCATGGTTTTATGTAGTGGGCAGTTTGTGTCGCACTTTTTCCAATATTGGCAAATCTCAAAGGAATAGCAGAAAACTATACCGCTTATGCATGGCGGAACTGTTACGGCTCAAAAGATGGCGCTACGATATCAAAGTACTATAGGAGGTTATTCAAAAAGTGCGGAATTACACTAATAAGCAAAATTTGTATAATTTAATTAAACCCTAAGGCTAATGATTATAATTTATATAAATTTCGCCCACATTCCAGCGCTATTCATTTTTAAGTAAGTTAGTTTTAATTGCAAGTAATTATTTTTTATAAAAAAAATATATATTCTACTACAAAACCGAGTACGCACTATTTGCATCCAGTTTTTTTGTATATATCCTATAGAATGCGGTGTTATTGTGTTTAAGTCAAGACCCAACTTGGTTGTTAAGCTTTTTCCTGAAAGCAAACACAAACTTTATCTTTCGAAAGCGTCATAATCGGTTTAGATCCTTATAAAATGGCAAAATTATTCTCAAGGAATTAGTTATGAAATATATGGTAAGTCGATTTCGAAAATATGTTCCTTCTATTCGATGTCTTTATAAAGTTTTACATTTTACACTTTAATAAAAGGCTCTTATTACTAACTCAATTTCTACGTTTCTAATAGCGTCTAAACAGGGACTCTAACAAAAGTTTTGCGAATTAAGGTTCCTGGCTATTCTAGTTGCGTTCTTTCCGACAATATTAGTCGTCACCCCCTGTAGATTTCTATATCCTGTTATCGCAGCCGGTGGCAAACATTCAGTCGACCTGCCCGCCCCGACGGCTGTTCGACGAGTTCCCATTTCTAGAGTGATTGAACGCGAGGGTTCAAAAAACCAAAAATAGGACAATACGAGGCGGAATTTAAAAGTATGAAGCTGAGCATGGAGGAAAAGCGCCTCAGTGAGAGAATAGGGAGATTTCAGTTCACTAATAATTGCAGGCTGTAACTGTATTAATACCAGAAAGTATTTCCGTTTCATAGGAACCGGAGCCGGTGAGATCAGGCTTTGTTGGGATTTAATTTTAATTTGTAACCTATGAAATGTGCACTGTTTACCAATCAAATATTTTTTTGCCGTTTTTTTTATAAATTATTTAAAAGTGTATCTTGGATATATTTTATTTATGTATTATAGGAGAACTGATATGTTTGAGAACTCGTGGATGTACGAGAGTGTCACTGAATCAACGGAAGCAAAACCGGATTAAATTGTGCCAAGCTTATAAATAATCAGTCACAAATAACGGCAGGCACAATCCTTATTAGTGGCAATCCTAACTAAAAAGGAAACGCGCATGTGCAGATGTCAATTTAACGGCGGCACTTATAAAATTAAATTTTTTTTTGGAAATAAAATATTTAATTTTTTTCGTAAATTTGATAAGTGGCATAGCTGCAATGTGTGTTCCACATCTCTCTAAAAGAATTTGAAAAGTTCGGGCTTTCTTCAGTTAAAACTGTACAACTTGGTATCGCAGAAATAGTATTTTGAGTTTGCAAAGATAGTAGTCGATTGAAACATCAATGTAACTTTATTCCTTTATAAAAAATATATTAAAGCAATGCATTAAATTCAAGTCTAATTCAATGTGAGTCAAATTGAATAACATCTCTTACAAATAAAAATAAATTAAAAATATAATAAACGGCCAGAACCACCATTTACTTACAATACAGCAACAACGGAGTAAAAAATAGAATAAAACCAAACAAAAAATTGAAATCGCTGAATAAATCGAGTTTAGAAAAGACAACAGAAATATGCAGCTTGAAAACTATGAAAAATAATAATACATTATTTAAGAACCAACATAATTTGGCTCAATTAAGAAACGCAAGACATTCGCTCAAAAATAAATCTATCTATATCTACCAAAAACTTTATAAGTAAATTTAGTCAAGAAACAAAAAGTATATACAGGGTGTTCGAATATCGTCAGGAAATTTTTAAGAGTGATTTTACATGCTAAAATAATGGTACATTCGGTACAAAACAACAGTTTGAAATCTGAATATTTTAGGAGTTACAGCTCATAAAACTTTTCTTTAGGTACTTGAAAATTCTGATTTTCACTTTGTTCTGACAAAGTTTCAGCTTAGTGATCTATAACTTTCTTATAAAAATTACTTCTCCACTTTGCCCCTAGATGGCACTTTATATTAAATTTACATTTCATTTTCCGCATAACATTATTGACACGCCAAATATCGCAAAAGGAAATATTCGTACCAAAAAACTGATTATATACGGGGTGTCCCCATTAAAAAACCTAAAAATTTTCAGTTTGAACACATGCTATTATGAGCTCCCGGTAATATCAACTACAAATATTTATTTTTCTCTATCTTAATATGGCATGCTTCATTTCTTCTGTCAAATTTAAAAATTTTGTGATAAATATTCATTGTTTAAACCGAATAACTAAAAACTGTACAATATCCGCTCATATTTATACCGCAAAAAGTGATTGAAATTTACATAAGGATACAATCGAGGTTTAACGTATTTTTCGAATAAATAAATGGTTCAAATGAAATTAATGAGGAATTATTATAAAAAAAATATATAGGGGGTGTTCCATTAATATGCTGACAATTTCCTAGTAGGGGACATATACACATGTGTAAATAGAATGCGTTTTCAATATACAAAGTGCTGAAATTTGTAGTTTGTAAAAAAATTTAATAATGTATTAAATAATTAATAATGTAATAATAAAAGCGAATAATTGTTCAAAATTTCAACCACTGGCATCAATATACAAGCTGTGCTCCCGTCTTATTGACTCCCACTTCTAAGTTTTTACCAAAACTAGATTTTTTTAATTCTTGAAAACTAAGTCTACCAACTACGGAATAATTTATTTTATGGTAGACGGTTTTATATTGAAAACAGAATGGTTGATTTTCTGATCTTTTCAAATCAAAATTTTCTTAAAAAATTCTTAATTTGCAGGAAAAATATATTCTTAGCTGCTTTACTTGCGAAGGCTCGGAGTTTGGAAAAAACATTACGAATCATATAAAAATAATAACATTTTTGAAGCAATGCCCCGTGAGCACGCCCCTAAACACTAAACATACCAGTTTCAAGAAATGGCAACTAAAGATTTACTCATTTGATAAAGCAATTCAAATTTCACACTTTTTATGACAAAAATGTTGCGTTATCGGTCACAAGATATAAAGCGAAATGTGTTTGCGCTGAATAACACCCCTAAATGTTAGTGGTCATATTTATGGAATATCCTGTATACTTATCGACATGCGCTCAATCAAGTAATAGAAAATGTTTACTTTATAAAGTAAATAAGTGTTTTAGTGCAAGTGCTGTCAGGCCTAAGTAGTTCCTTAATTGTGGAATATTCATAAAACGCTTAGTTTTTTATCTACAGGGTGTGAAAAATAAGGACTAATTCAAAACTCGATAAATTTATTGAACCGATTTTAATGTACAAATGAAGTAATCTACATTGTAATGAAATATGAGAACAGCAAAGTCTTGATGATATTTGGTAGTAATAAAATTAATCTGTTATTAATTCAAACTCGATTAAGCTAAGCGATTAATTAATGTTATTTTCAGATTTTACTTCAAAACAATGTTTTGTAAAAAGATAGCCTGAATGCCTGTTCGCTACTTCTAAATTGTACTCAATTTTGAAAAATATGTTTTATTTTAATAAAAATCAAACGTTTTCTTTTTAATATTAAATTTTACTTAAACCGTCCGCCTCCACTGGTAAATCTAAAAACTAAATTCTGGGCAGAAAGTTTATATTGTTCTAAAGCTCTTTAATGTCACCTTAATGTCTAATGTTATAATGACAGTTTTAATACCTTAATTCAATATATGTATATCGAAAAATTAATCGTTCGATAACCTCCTACAATCAATAAATAAAATACTCAGTGTATATAAGAGCAATAAAACAGTCCAATTGTTACGGTATCATAAAATTTTGGTCCAATAAAAACTAACTTGCAAAACCCAAATGACGCATCTGAACAAAAAAAAATTGAAAAATTCATATTACAATAAATAATCTATAAGATTTATAAAATTAGACCAGACATATTTACCGTAAAATTGGAAGTTACTTAACTTACGCTGCAAGTGTTTAGATTTGCAGAATAACGTTTCAACGTTTCTTTCTTAAGTCGATGGGTCACCACCAGGAAACATAGCAATCTATTGTCTGCTTTCTTTTTTGCTATTTGATTATCAACCAATTTCATTAATTGGTCATTGCAGAAAGGAATCAAATGTTTAAAATGGGCCTCGCCATTGCAGTTCAAATTCATTTATTGAATAATCAATAACTAAAAACTATTGGGGAAATTGTATTTATGACGTTTCCGGTTTCCTATTTGATAAACCGTATACAAGGGGCCTCTTAAAAATCTTCAGTCACTTTTGCCTCATACTTCTTGAAGGAAAACACGATGATTCGCTGAAAAATTGTTAAAAAATTGATTAAATATTGACGCTATCGATAAACACACTAAAAATCAAATTAAATTTTGTTTGAACAGATCATCTTCTGTATAAAAAAACTCTTCTATACAGAGTGTTATGTACACGAATATACCAAACTTTTTAGGGGTGGCAGAGGACATCAAGATTATTATGCGAAAAACACTGCGTTTTCGAGCTACAGGGTGTAGAAATTAGGGATTTTATTCCGTTTTTCTGTTAACATCTTGAAGTTTTCTAAACGAGATATTTCCAAGACAAAAGCGATATTTTAAGAAAATAAATTTTGATTCCTTGATCTAAAAAAAACCACAAACAAAAATGTTTTTCGTAGTAGTAACTAAGAATCTATTAAAAAAAAACAAAAAAGAATATTGACACTGACACCATTTAGATACAAAACTATTAACTTTCAGATAAGAAAAAATTGCCTGCCTGAAACGCTATATTTTTGCCTAATTCTGCCGATTTCTAAGAAATTTTGTATCCTTAGGTAACAAATCACGCTCGATCTAACTGTGAAAATGGCAAAACATTTTCCAGTATTTAAAGTTGGACGTGAAAAACTCATTATTTCTATGCTTTATATTGTCCAAAAATGTTTTTAAAAGGAAAAAACACCCGGAGGTACAACGCCCGGACGGCTCAGAAAGCAAGCCTTTAGTTGATTTAACATACAATAAAGGTTAAAGAACCGTATTAAAATCACTAAATACATTGATGACGAGTACTTAAAACCGCTTCTAATAGATGGATGATAGAAAATCTAAGATAAAATTAAGTAAATTAAAAATACTGATAAAACATTTCGAGAATGAACACTAAAAGGTATATTTTGTTATACAATGATGTGGAAAATGTTGAGAGCGCCTAAATAAAACTAGAATAGACCAAGATATTTAAACATTTTAAGTTTCTTCAGTTATAGCCGTCGATATTTAGCGAGTCGCATTAGTAGCAGAAACTAGTCGAAACTTTGAAAAGTAATCTCCAAATTTTTAACTTCGTTGCTAGTGGAACAACCGCACAGTTGGCCATGCCGGTATTTGCCCGTCCGTCCAGCATGCCCGTATCGATTAGGCTTCACATTTTCCATGCTCGTTCGTTCGAATCTTTCGGAACTACGGCCTGTTCAATTTTAGAATGTTTTCAAACTTGCCGGCCGGCATTATTTTGTTTACTCCCTTTAGAACTCACATATTTCAAGCGTTTCTTATCTATGAATATTCCAAAACTATTTGATTTTAGTATGGTGAAAGAGCCAACATTTATTTAGCGTCCGTACACAGTACCCATTCAAAAAAGAACCTCATTCACTACATTTTCCAACCGGTTGAATTTGGATGAAGCAAATGTAACTCTATTAATTGAGTATGTGCTTTAATCTATGTGGCTATTGTATAAAAATCGATCTCAGAAGCCCTCAATCAAACCACCGACACTTATATGCCATCCATTCAATAGTTTCAAATCGGATTTAAAAAACACACCTTCAGTGCTGGACACTTTAATCGAGTACTTTTGACTATGCAGGTAACGCTTCGATGCGAGTAATATTTGTCTGTATAGATTGTCTGTTTATACTGATTGTTATCGTGAAGACTGGCTACTTTAAAAGATAATCAACTTACAGCTTCTAAGTTAGAGGATTGAACCAATTAATTCTCTATAATTTAACTTAGTACAAAGATTTAGATGACTCGAAATCAGTCCTGGTCCAGCACCCCAACGTCAGATTAGATTACTATCACGTCATATTGTTTTGAGATTTGTACTTGTGACATTTTGGTTTGCAAGAGACGTCAATAAGACGTGATTCTTGGTCTTACCTTATACTCGACGTAACACGGTGAAGTTTTCAATCATCAAAAATATTTTGGCAAATGACAGGTAAGTATACAGGAAAAGTCAGACGAAATACTTTCCGATACTGCGAGGGTTCAAAGAAATAAATATTTAAAATAACGAAAGAAAATTGCGTAACTGTCTGAGTAGAGCAGAAAAATTGATGAAATAGAGAGCACATGAGATTAAATTATTAAAAAAGTGGTGGTTTCCATTTGAAAAATTTAATTTTTGGGGGGTTTTCTCAATTTAATTTGAAACCTTTGCCTTTAGCATTTTGTATTAATAGTTATCAAAATTATATTGAAGCAAGTCCGTTTAAACCAAGAATGCAACTAAAATTAACATCCGAGTTAATAATTATTCTAGTGTCCTTTTTGAAATAAAAGTTCAAATATATCAAAAACAGTTAGACAGGATACTATACATATATGAAATATATTTGAAATTTAGAGTATAATTTAAAAAAAGAATAATCTACAGGGTGATCCATTTAAAATAAGCAAGCCCCACTTCCAGTTATACCGAAAGTGGGGCCATCTTGAAAATATTTTAGAACTCTTGCTCTCAAAGACTTCCGTATAATGTCCAATTTTCAAATTTCTTCTAATTATAGTTTTCCATGTATAGATCGCGAGTGATTCCTGGTGGGTCACTGTATATAATACAGCTTAACATTATGGTTTCTTTGTTATCTCATAGAAGAACAGTGATTTTCAATGAGTAAAAACTCAAAAACCCTGCTAAAGTAGAAAATTACCCAAATTTCGTATTTTTTTTAAATTTGAGTTTGGTTTATTTGCGCTCTTTGAATCACATGCAGAACACACTAATGTTACTTTATGTTATTGCGAGCACGTTAAAGTAAATAACGTCAATTTAAGATGCAATAAATATAGACAAATAAATATGGCAAATAATAAATATATCCAATAATCCAATAAATAGGACTTAATTCAAACCTCATGGGTACTTATTAAGCGTTGTCGCCAGGAACAATTGTTTTCACCTAATTCACGCTTAAGTCCACCATTGCAATATAAAACACTATGCCCTAATTTCACTTGTTGTTTGTGCAAAACTGTCAATACGCCATCTGTCTCCAACTCGAACACGGCTGAAAGGTATGTCACATTTGTTTTTCGGTGTGAAATTAAGTTTAGTATACTTTTTATTGGTTTCGAAAGCGGTTTAAGTTAGTTTAGGTAAGTTGTCGGTTAGATGAAATCTTCCCAGTAACTAATAGCGCCCAATAAGAAAGTCTGCTCAAGACCGGCTCAGTTGTCGTGTCTCTGCCGTTGAAAATTCGATTTAAATTTACGAAATGCTACACGAGCATGAAGAAACTATACTTTGGCCCCAATATTTATGTTTAAAATACCCCTCCAAATATTATGAAGTGAACAATTTGTCTAAAAATTGTGTTGTTGGATGACGTTATACCATAGGTAAGAGAAGAGTTATACCCCAAGTTTATAGCAAAGTGTAAAGGTGCCCACATACTATTAAACATGCATGTCAATGTATCACGCTAGTTTTATCATTCACTTTTTCTCAGTTCGGAAGTGCACGATGACTATTAGATTCTGCCACTAGTGTAAAATATAATAAACTTTCGAAATTCGTATTCGAAAAATATTAAGAAAATGACGGGTAGCAAAATTTGCAAAATTGAGGACGAATAAAGAATGATTCGTAACGCTGATAAATCTGATTAATATAACCAATTATTAAAAAGATTTTTAAGAGCTATTACATCACCACATGAGCGATTAAGGCACACTTTTTAAGAGTCATGAACACTAAAAATTTGTAACACAAAATGCTTTCTAGATTTAAAAAAATATATTTTTATACGAAATAGAGTACCTATCATCATCAGTCTCATCTGAAAAATTAGAGAACGTTACAAAACATTTACTAATTTTTACGAAAGAGACAAAATCATGTAAATCGTATATCCTCGACTGCTCAAGTACTTGATCGTTCTAAATCTTGTATAAGCGCGATTGAATATTGGCGTGATTTCTCTGGAGATATGGGTAGGTACGAGTAGAAACTTAAAATTTTGTAGCTTTTGGGTTAGTTTTTCCTTTATATTTTCAAAATAATAGAAAAAGCTATTATGTACTAACATGTGTTTAATGAGCGTTTATCTCAGATACGATTAGAAATATTAGCGTAATCATTGCGCCCTTTTTCAAAAAGCATCTCAAGAACTGTCTTTTTATTTGCATTTGATCTGAAAAATTCCTAACCTCTAAAAAGCTAGAAGGAAAAACGTATAATTTTAAGTCCCCGCGAACATTCCTGAGCGCATACCCCAAAAACGGTTAGAAATATTTGAGTAATCATTAGTGCCTTTTTCAACGAGCATCTCAAGAACTGTCTTTATCGTTGAAGGCGTTATGAGAAATTTGTAACCTCTAAAAGGCTAGAAGGAAAAATGCATAATTTTTAGACGCCGCGAAAGTTTCCACGCGTATACAGGGTGATTCAAAATTGGCGTCATTCCTCTGGAGGTGTTGTCTGGCGTCTGGTAATTTTTTTTTTTGAATGCTTAAGTATTCCAATATGCTACCAATTAAACATGGAACAATTTCAAAATAATGTTTAATAACAAAGTTGAAATTCGATCTTCAACTGTTAATATGTTCTAGAAAATTTGAAAACAAATTTTCAATATTTTTCTCGTACTCCCCAAGGGAGCCTCTATTACCCCTTAAAAGAAATGACGCCAATTTTGAATCACCCTGTATTTCAACTTTCGGATGTTCACGCTTGTTGCGCCAATCTCCACCATTTGACTTAATATAATAATGTAATATATTCAGTTACTGTATTTACCATTGTTACTGAGTCACACTGTAGATCATGGTATATATCGACATTTTGAGAAAACTTAAACCAAGCAAATGCCTGCGATTTTTTGCTTAAACACTAGTTTATGAACAGCATTATCATTCGACACATAGGGATGATTGGAATGAATATATGTTTGTAGGTGTATGTGTAAGGGTTTTATTTAAGAAATCAAGCATCTCTTTCGAATTTTATACACATAGTTAACGCTACAAATTATTAGAATCACACGCCGAATTGGCGAATCACCAGAAGATCTACAGAACTTGTTCGATTAAGTAGTGATGAGCAGCGAGGAGACTTTACCTTAGAGCAGCTTTGACTTACCTTAAATATGAAAAAGACCAAATTTATGACAATTCCAAAATTATCCCAACAACGGGAAAACATATGGATACTTAGGAACAATTGTCAATGAAGATAATGGATACACACATTAAGTCAAGAATTGGACAAACCAAAGCCATAAATAACAAAATGAAGAACGTATTATGCAGGAGAAATCTTAATTTATACCTCAGGAATATTGGGATGCTATATCTTTCCGGTTTTACTTTATGGGGTGGAGTCCTGGATGTTAAAGAAATACATTAGTGGTCGACTAGAAGCCACTATGCTAGGTGGCCACATGATGAGGGGAGGATACAGGGAAGAAGACGAATTTCCTGGTTAAATAATTTGAAACAATATTACATGAACAATGAAGAAACAATAGTACAACTGTAGCTGCGGTGAGCCATTTTGAACTGCAGTACTTGCCAAAGATCAAAATAGCTTTGATGATAGCCAACCTTGTCCGAGAAGATGACACATAAAGAAGGTCCTTCACTCAACTTGTTTTAATTACAAAACTGTCAAACCTGGCAAATTACTTGAATCAAGAACAGGTTTCTGGCTGTAGCACAAACAAGCACTCGTAGGTCTCGGACCTACGAGCTTATTAGCCTTCGTCAGCTAGGTTTAGCTTGCAAATTATGAGTACTGCGCCAAACAGTCAAAAAAACTGTCAAGTTTTCAACTGTCAAGTCGCGCCAGCCAGCTGTCTCAAATACCGACACGATTGACTCCGCTGACATTACAAATCACAGTTTGAGCACAGCATAAAAATATATAATATTTATGCTGTGGTTTGAGTGTGTTTAGAAGTTGAGTTGAGTTTTGAAGAAAACTAGCAGTCGCCTAGTTATAACAGTTACATTTTTCTTCACTTTCGGAGTGACAACCATCAAACTGATCAGAGCGTATAGATAACTACCTATATGACAGAGCTTAAATAGTGCTTGTGGATGTTGATATTTGACAGATGGTATTAAGAAATTCAATCAGCTTGTAGTGGACGGAAACGTAAATTCCATCATTTTCTTAGCTTCATATCGTATGTGTAGCTTCCTATAGCCACGATTCCAAGCACCCATTATCCAACTGCCTATTTGCATGTTACTTATTGAATGAACTACTACTATTGAAATCACTTTATTTACTACAGACCATGCATTTAATGTAGTTGCATTCCCACTGCACTGGCGCCACTTAGTAACCCAATTACAACATCTCCGTCGGCGCCTAACAGAATGGCCAATCGGTAGCCGACGACTCAATTAAATGAACATCAATTCAGATTCCTTCGGTGGCGGCAATTTTTAGCAAATCAGAGCTCGATGCAAAGGTTGCATTGCTGCGCCTAGGTGATGGGGGAACAAAAACAGTTGAACGTAAACAGAAACGCCGGTCCCACGTGGCACGTGCCGGCTCCGAGATGGGCCCCCTTTGTCCCCCAAGGCACGCGCCCCCCTGACCATGTACGTCGTCTTTTTGTCAAGCAGTCGGCGCCGGGAGCAACAAGTGAGCTGCGAACAGAATGCACCGGGGCACGTGTGCATCCCGTAAACAGCACATAAATTTAGTCCGTTCATTGGATATGCGATTTGCTTTTGTTTCGTTTCAGTTCCGTTCGCACCTGTCGTCATAGATGAAGTCGGTCACGTGGCACGGAAACGAATACCTCGCTCTATGATGAATGAATGTTGTCGAGCTTTTGATTTATTAGTAACACATACTTGACTAATGAAGGACGCAGTCTATCTAGAAGAAGAACAATAACTAACTGAA